TCACGAAAAAGCCACCGTTTTAAAACCATCCCCGTTGCCACCGACTACTGAGGTTCACCCCCTCATTTTTATCAAGAAGTTGGTTATTAACTTCTCACACACCAAAGGTCTTTAAAATCTAAAAGTGGAAAACGAAAACCACTTTCTGTCGTGACTGGCTAATTTGACTGTGCAAAGAGTTCATCCGTGTCATCCATATGCATGTTATTTAGGACCCATTTTAGGCAACTCTTAAATTAAATAAGTCAAAAAAGAATTGGGTTTCCGTGGTTGACCACACTCGTTTTAGATAGCCGGTAGCAACTGGGAGGTTGAAACCATGAAGACTAATCAATTGCGTTGTCCAATGCATTTAGCATCAAAAGCTGAAAGTACCGGGTACGGTGTCCAATCCGTACTATATAACGGTGAAGCCATCCAAGGGAAAGGACTATTCAGAAAGGTCACCAAGCACATGCACACAAACACACAACCTGAAATCTGGGGACGGCTTCTCATTTTCCAAGACATCACCAGTCTGATTGAGAGCCTGAGGGAATGTGAAGATTCGGATCTGGTTTTTGAACCAATTTCACCGGAAGATTGAGCGTAACCACCTCTCTAGTCGTTCCTTTCAACGAAAAAAACCGGCCCACCAAAAGGCTTGGCTGTTTCTGTCTCCGGTACTGATGTACTTCAAAAGATGTCAACATCGAACAGCAGGTTGAGTGGTCTCTAGCAAGTCAGAGTCACCAAGCATCATGTCCAAATCCCTGTGCTACTCACCATCTCAAATGTTCATAAATTGTCTCACGTTCCCCAGCTGAACCAACCCCGCACCACTGCACCACCGCACCACAAAACAAACCGTTCCCTCCTCGCCGGAGGGCATCTTTTGAGCTGCTCTTGGCCGCCTCTTCACAATGAACCATCAACTCCCAAGCGAAGAGCGCTGGATTCACCCCGTACCTCCCGCTCCGTGACGCGTCCGGTCCACCCCGGGGTCGAGGGCGGTCCACCCCGGTGTCGGAAGCTGAGACGGAAGACGCTGGAACTTGAAGGTCCGGAGATCTCCTTGTGAGACATCGATTCGCGAAAAGTCCTGGGGAAAATACTTGGAGAGGGGAAAGCATTGCATTGGTGTTTGCATTGGGTTTGGTCTGTTCACGAGAAAGTGCAGGAATTCTTTCGGCTCTTGTTGCGATCTCTTCAGAGCCCCCAAGGTCCAAGACCCTATATAAACAAACGGAGGAAAGTCATCCGCCAGGGCAAAGTCTCACGATCTTCGTTCTACGAAAAACGCTGCCCGTATAGGGGGGTGGAGTTGTATGTGGCTTGTCTTGACGGCCTGGTGCTGTGCCCGGGTCGGTTCACAAGGTCGTCCATGTTTCCTGAAAGTCTTCCCATCAACGGGAGTTTCTTTCATCAGGCAGGACAAAAGTTGGTAACAAGATGCAACAAGCCTGTGAATACATGACCTACAACCCTCTACAACCCTAGAATTCTACAGGGGATCACAGTGGAATTCCGTATTTTAACTTAGTTCGGGGTGGAAACTCATCCGCAGGAATTCCACTGGGAAAGAGAAGTCGTATCAGTGAGATTGTCGAGTGAAGTTGTTGCCAAACTTTCATCCTCCTGAAGTATAGCTTATAACTTATATATAACTATCCGAAACCCAAGTGCTCACAATGGATCATGACCTCCTTCCAAACCCCGCGTTCTTGTGTGTTTGGTTGATCTTTTGCGATGCTGAGATATTTTCGGCACCAGTGCCAACTCCAAAATGGACCACCCCCAAACAAGGATGCAACCGAAGCTGCAACCGATCAGAAATGTTCAACCTCAGGTCTTCGATGGTCACCATCGACTGTCTTGGAGCCACCGTTCCCAGCCTCGCCCAGCTGCTTACACCATCCGCCACGCCGACCACGATGTGGTCCTGGAGGGTGGCGGGTTTTCCCATGTGTTCCATGGAGAGCTGAACTTCGGAGAGCTGAAATGAATCGAAATCCAAATCGATCGGAATCCATCGGAATCAGCTACACTCTCGGAGTGTAGCATGAAATCAGTGGATGGAAAGATGGCCCCCGACATTCGGAGCATCCTGAAATCGATCCAAAATCCGGGTGTCTTCGAGGTGTTTCAACACAACCGCGGGACTACAGGATCCAACCTTACATGTGTCGAAAGCTGCCTCGTTTCGTCCCCGACCTCTTGAAAGGGTCTGTTGTTTCTTAGGCCGGGAGATCAAATGATGACATTACTTTGGTTTCTTCGTTTCCAATAAGGTTCTGCTCTTCATCCAACCTTATCACAAGAAGCGCCAGCCTTACCAGCAGCAATGAGAGTCTGTTTGTTGCTTCAATGTCAGAGTCCTAAAATGACCTATCATCCAAAATGATCTATCATCCAACCATCCCTCAAAACACATGCCAACAAAAACATGTTTCTTTTCCATCTCCCACCTTCAAGTCCGTCAAAAAGAAGGCATCGTCGCCACAGTCGTGGCGCACGGGCGCCACGATCTTCCGTGGCAGTGACTTGGAGACGCACCGTGCGGCGCACTCCACGCTGAAGCGCCCATGCATCCGGGGCGCCCACTTTTGGCCTCGTTTCTTGGGGTGATTCGTTGAACGGTGGGGGACGGTCGGTGCTCAAAGATCTGAATAAGGAGGATTGAGATGTCATGCGAAGCATGCGTCACTTGGAAGAGGATGTCGGGGATGTCATGAGCATTCTACCCATGTTCTCCATGTGGAGAGGACTGAATTGGTACCGTGATTCCAAGGAAAATTACCTTCCAGAGCAGGCTCTTGTGACGTTCTCCCCAGTAGACTCTAGACATTGCAACTTTGGGCAGGACTGGCACCCGTGTCCAAACCATTTTGGCCCGTTCTAGTGGTGATGTTTGACCTACAACTGGATGGAAATGATCTCGTTTTAGGTGTATTGCGTACGTCAACTCTATCCAAGTGGGTCTCATTGGGTACATCACAGCTTTTGTCTCAGTGGTATCAACAAGCATAAGCATGGAGTTTCTTTCCTTCTCCTTCAAAAAGTGGCATAAAAGTCCTCTCACCAGTGAAGGAAAAAGAAACCGTCCAGATGAACATGGGCCCTGAAAACCCATGGAAATGTTTAGAGTCCATGTGACAAGGTGATACTCTTTCAGGATCTTCCAGGGGAAAACTGACCGTTCAACCCTGTGACTGGTTGCCAATGGCCGCACGACAGCCAGCCCGCCAGTCCCCCAAAGGTCATCACCACGCGTTGGCGGAATGCCCGGCGGAACAGGCGCCGGGCTGAACCCGGACATGGTGCGGGTGACGCGATGTGGGCGATTTTAGCAGAGGTACAACATATTATTATATACACAATGTTCTTCCAAAGAGGTGGTTGTGACAGTGAATGGTTGTGAAATCACCTGATTCAAAAGATTCTCTCAGCTAGGACCAAGGATTGCTTTTTCTAATGGGGTCCTGTTCTGGAGGGAAACAGCAGCTACGTTTGCCTTTCAACTGGATATTCAAGCTTCTTCCAGTCTAGAGTCTAGAGGTGGGTCGCTCCACCCTGGAAACCTGGTCGTGACCGCCTCAAATGAATTGGGGGTGGTCTACGCAACGGTATGGATCGGGTCTGTGCTTTTCAATCCCAAGATCCCAATCTTCTCATGCCAGGCAGGCCCCAAAAGGACCGCTGCCCACCGACCGCTGCTCTCCGTTCCGCCGAAGCCCACCATCTCGCAGTCGAGCTGCCATAGATCTTCGCTTCGCATCGGCTGGTGGTCGACCTCCGGTGTTGCCCACCCAGCGCCGCCGCGCTTCCCAATGCCGCGGGAAGCAAACGCCGCAGGGCCATGGCGATTCCAGGTCTGGGGGGAAGCAGCTGGGGGGGGAGGAAGCATCCTGCTGGTGTTGTTGTTCGGGTTTCGTGAGACTGGATGGGGCGATGTGTTTCGGTGAAGCAAGGGTGGTGCAGCATGGTGGGCACAAGTTTAGTACACCCAAGGGGTAGAAAAGACATTGATTTCTTGGTCTTATGAGTCTCATGTCACTGTCGATCATGGAGGCCATATTCTATGCCGCTGTCTTTTCTTGGTAGGACCGTAGGAGTCTTGCCACACATTCTTCTCAAAGGCTTTTCGGTGTCACGTCTCTATAAGCAAATCAAAACAAAGACGCCTGCATTGATTTTATGTGTCACATAACTGATTCCGCGTTGAGGCAGCTGCTTTTGGGGGATAGAAACTGTAGATCATTAAGGAGCCAACTTCCAAAAAGCATACAAAAACATCAGGGAATGTCACTCAACCAATTCTCGAAGATCCGTTTTCATGTCTTCCTCATCCATCCAATCATCTTCTATTGGCATCACTGGAGCAGAAAGCGGCATCGCAGCGCTCCGATGAACGCACGCCCTCCACTAAACTGAGCATCATGTAGTCAGGCCTAAGCAACTGACCGGGTGCCAGTAGGGGCTGAGAAGAGAAGGAGCCCAAAACGGAAACCAAAAAACGTGTCGTGACGTGTCCCAAGGTCCTGACAAGGAGACTCTTCTTTGACTTTTGTAGGCTGCAATCAAACGAATCCGAATGCTGTTGGGTCCTTGGGCCATTCATGCCATCGTTCCGTTGGGTTGGATGGTTCCGGGGGGTTCACCCATGGGTCGATGCGAAAAACATCCTATGGCAAGGTCGTTCTGTTGGACGTGGTTGGCGTGGAAACGAAAAATGGGGAGATGAGTCAACTGTCACCGATGTGAATGACCCGAACTGTGAGCGCAGAACTCGTTCTCTTGCTCAAAGGGATTCGAACTTCTCAACTCCCAATCACTGCTGACATCCCAATCAGGTCAAGTCCTTCGACGGACGAACCAGCAGGTACCTGTCCATTCCACTCCAGTGGGGGTCACCGCTCTTCAACAGCCCTAGTGGACCTGCAGGGGAGGGCCACTTTGGAGAAGATCCTTGCTGACTTGGTTGGTGCTGGGACCTTGAAACCAAGCTCTGGGGGCTGCACGGAATCACCACCGCAGACCTCGAGGAGGTCTGCGCGACACTCGCGTGAATCGCGCGGTGAATCGGGGGCGACCCAACTGGGGGCGGTTGGTGTGGCGGGGTCTGCGGACGGATTTGGTGAAAATAGAGATCTCGAGATCTGATTCACAGAGATTCACACGACAAAACCCATGGCCCATAGGATGTAGACAACGTAGACGCAAACGTCCCAGGTGCAAACGTCGGGCTTGGGACGTCCCAACCTGCATTTTTCGGTACCCTTGAGACCGTCGCGCCGTCTTTTTCGGGAGCCAAATGGAGCCTAGGTTCGTTGGGAGTCCCCTGTTCAGGACTTCAGTGCAAGAAAGAATACACCTATTTAAAATATTTTAAAATCCTATATTTATAATCTGGAAAACCATCCGAGCGAAACCTTGAGTGAAACAACACTTAAGTTCACTATTGGGGACAACTACTCCATCCACGAACTCTAGGACTCTAAGAAAATAGGATAAAATAGGTCTGTTATGGTCTGTTTCTGTTTCCATCCACCCCAATCTTCATGAAATATAACACAAGTCAGTGCAAGCATCGAAGATGCTGGGAGATGGTGGCATGGCGCCGACGTCGGGAAGTCACTGGGCTGCCGAGCCTTGAACCCCAAGAGCCAGCGCCACATGGCGCCGTGGCGCAGCGAGTTGGGCGTTGTTGAAACCGGGTGATGACGCCATGACGAGTCGAGGGCGGGGGATGGTATGGATGGGTAAGACGGTGATGTATATGGTGCGTATGTGGCGCTTTAAAGGTCGACATAAAATGACAGCTACTGAGGCTCGGCCTGTAGATTCAGAAAGAATTTGGATCAACCACCATTTCTACGCCACTGTGGAAGGTGTCATGTTTGGATTTGGACACGGTGGGTAATTTCTGTACAGGGGTCTGGTGCGTATATCTTCGCCCAGTGCATACCGGGCATACTGCGAGTGGTGGCAGGGTGGAACCTCATGAAACTGGGACTGTAGGGTTTGCTCTTCCGTTGCTTCCGTAGCTTCTCAAGAGAGGCCAGCGTGGATAAGGAGCATGGTGAGAGGCTTCTTAAGGTAATATTAATATTCTTCAAGCGTGGAGTTCGGGTGCCACACTGGATGGCCCAGAAAGGTTGGAGTTCGGAACCCACGGAGTTTGGAAGCCACGTCGGCTCGGTCGTTGCATGGAAAGCAACGACCGCCATCAGCCACAGAAAGGTACCCGGACTAGAGAAAACATCGGACGGGCAAACAAACATCGCACATGTCGACAGTTGGTGTATCCTTCCAAATCCTCCCAGATCCATGAGCTGCAACTGCAGTAAGCAACATGGTGGATTTTTCCATGTTTTACAATGCGGAACATGTTGGGAGGTTATTCCAACACACCAGAGCTTGGAAGAACCCCTTCAGGTCCGATTTCATTGCAATGCGTCCACAGCGTACCACTGCGGAAAAAAACGTTGAGTGTCTGGCTTCGGCAAGGAAACATCCCCCGGTTCGGGGCCTTTGGATGGTATCAGTCAGTGACCTTTTCCATCCAAAAAAGGTTGGCACCTATAGAAAACATATCCCTACAAGTCCAGTCTGACCCAGTAACACCTGGTCCTTTGCCTTCTTGAATAGTGTTTTTGTACGACCAACTTCAGTAAAATGAGGTCATTGACTTGTAGGGTATGTCTACATGTCGAAAGGTTGGTACATGTCGGACGGCTTGTCTGCACCCCCCCAAAACCGGCTCCGTCACACGGTGCACGATCGTTTCGGTGCGACGCTTCAGCGACCACGTCCGGACGGTGTCCCAGCTTTCGCCACGTGATACGGAAGAACGGAGAAGATCGCTGGGACACCAATCCATCCCAATCCACTGATGAATCGAAAAGGAATTGAGGGTTTCAGACCTTTAGATGGTTTTAGATGGATTGAGATACATTTGCCCATTAGATTGCATTTGGATGCATTTGGCTGGTTGGATAGATGCCTTGAGGCTCTGTATTTATAAATATTCCATGCATGAGTTGTTGGGGTTGGTCTGTATCCTCGGCAGCCGAGTCACAAGAAACCCGACCAGTGGTTTGTTCTACCAGTGGTTTGCAAGTCTATCGAAGTCGGATGAAGTCTCGTTCCTGATCCGTCTTCTCTCAGTGCCCAGTTGCTGATCGGTTGCAACTCACAACGCAGCTTGGGGACCACGAAGAGGCACCGGAGTCGTGCAGGAACCCCCGAAGGGTTCGGACGGTCTCCGGTCCGGTCAAGGTTCAGATACTCCAGGCGAAGTCGGTGTGTCTCTGCCTCTCTGACCCGACCCAAACACAGCGACTGACGGTGTGCCTGCGTGCGTCGGCTGGAGCCAGACACATTTAGAAAAACTAGAGGCTTCCCCCAACCCACCCCGGGACCCCCAAGAAAAGTCACAAATGGTGGACTAAGACTGAGGCTAGGTTCAGAAATGGCACTTAAGAATCCTTCCCCCAAATAGCACGCTTGTCTTTTGGGCCGAGCGCCTCCACCGCGGAGCTTTGCAGCCGCTGCGCCAACGCACCACCGCTGCGGTCTGCGGCAGAGTAGGCGGACTCCACCACCCGGGCAAGGCCTTATCTGCAGCGGATCCGGGCCCCATGCCGGTCCCGGTGGAAGAAAAACGACTCCGACTCAGCAACATGGGTCGAAGTAGTTTCCCCACCCCAATATGCAAAATGTTGTGGAGGCATCCAAAGCTCCTGCCATCCATGTGTTTGGAGGGAAGGGATCTCGTCCTTTTCCACGAACCCCACAGCTGAGCTTGATTTTCTCATATTTTCTCAAGCTTGGAAAGTTGATCTCATCCCTTAAAGGTGGATGGTGCTTCACATCTCGCCCAGGCACTTGTGGCTTCAGGTCGCTCCTCAGTCTCATCCATCCTCCCAAGCACTTCGACTGCCAGGCTCCATTGCGGACCTGCCGCCTTCAGCGCTCCTCGCGGGGTGCGAAGCGATAAAAATGGCCGCTTCTTGTGGCTGGTGGGTGGTGCGTCGAGAAACGACTGAGGTGATGGGGTATGTCTTGGAACCGATGTTGTCCACATGGTGAAAACCACGTGGTTTTCCGCCATGCGGACCGGTGGACCATTGGAGTTTAGGACTCGAGGTGGTCACTTGCTGGAGGCTGGTGAGAATGAAGGAGCTCCGTCCCCGCCGGAGGAACCCAAGGAGCGAAGGAACCCCAAAGGGTCCGGACCCTGATCGAAGAACTTATAGGTCTGAATTGCTTAGAATAGTAAGAATTGGGGGGGGGGTCGAGAAGTGGGATGTGACGTGATGCGACATCTGTGGCCATTCCCAACCAAAGTTCGGCGACACTTGACCTGTCATTCAGAATGGGATGCCCTCGATCCAACTCATCCAACACCCAACCAGCAAAACAAACCCAGTTCGCAAAGCTTCACAAAGGTTCCCAGGTTGCCGAGTTGGAGGGAAGGATTCGAACCCCGAATTCACCGGGAGTGTGCCTTGCAAGCCGCGTTCGGACTCAGGCCTCGGGTGTGGCAGCGGATCCGTCATCGTGCCCAAAAATCCGTGAAGCGAAGATAAATACTTCCCAAAGCATCTCTCGATGCATGACATGATTCTATTTACACATTGATATAGTATAATCGATCTACTATCCATTGCGACATGACTTCGGTGCCTCTTCTTCGAATGGATAAGATACCGTGCCGTGACCTATCCAAACCATCCGGCGCTTCGCACGCACGTGGCCATCGATCATCTAATTAGGCCGATTTTCGGGGCAAACGGCCTGTCTCTGATCCTCAAGAGGACAAATCCATAGGATCTGTCCATAGCGATCTGCCCAGCCTGGCCCTGGAGATGAAACGAACTGTTAGGATGGCCAAAGATCAAGACATGTTGTGCTATACCCCTGGGGTATACTCCAGGGGTGCCAAGAATATTGCAATAATATTTAATCCATAATCCACTATGTATTCATTATATTGTAGAGTATTATGGCTATTTTGTAAAATATAGTTCTCCATATGATTTCGCGCATGGTCAGCATGCAACAGTTGCTTGGTGTCAGTTCCAGTGTCTTTGGCCCCCCAAAACGTGACCTCTATATTTCCAGATGGCAACATCGCCTTTCTTCCTCACTTATACCCTCTTATACCTTGCTTGACCACTATTAGGACTATGTTGCCTACCAGTGGGTGATGTTCCCACGCTTTTGGAATCAGAAGCCTCGAGCAAAGAACCGCTAACACCACACAATTCTTCTACACTGCCACATTGTTTTCGGGAGGGGTCGTCTCATCATCTAGAACCCTACGCCTTCCATTTAATCAACGAAAGTTTGACCTGGTCTCAAAACATCTCAAAACCATCATAAGACCACCCTAATTGCCTGGGAGCTTGAAACTCACACCATCTCCCCTGGATCCTTCTCCCCTCATCTCCCCTCGGCCTCAACCCTCGTTTCGCTCGCTGCTCTCGGCGTCTCAGCCCATGCGACCGGTGTCGCGCGCCGTCCCTCCGGTCCCGCTGGTCGCTCCGGTCCCGGTCCGAGCAACAAGAGCTGGACGGCCCAATGCCAGGGCACCTGCTCGCCTCGGTGGTGAAGCGGAGGAGAGCGGTGACCCGGGTGGGCTTAGGAGGTCCAACATCTCTCAGGGTTGCCATGTTGGGTGGCATGGTATGGGCGTGGTACCGACATGTCTGGTGGTTTGGAGGGAGCGTTCCAACACTAATTAGGATTCGGATTTATTCCTGGTCCTACATTGTTGCCTTGAAACATCATAGGGAGAAAGACGGTGACGGTTTTCGTAGGAGGGAGGGCAGTCGGTTAAATTTAGGATGCATCATCCCTGCAACGAGGATGGACAAATCTGTCTATTGGTCCATTGGAGAGCATCACAGCAACATCCAAAACACCTATATAGAGCATTCTAGAGCATAACTAGGCATACCACCGTGAGCTTCTTGTTGCTGGACATGTCTTGGATGGGTCCCGAGTCCTTGTTCGTTTCAAGAACAACTGACCCTCCTGCGGCCTTCAAGTGCCACCAAGGCGCAGCTGAGCAGCTGCGCCACAGCCAAGGAGTCAGCGCGCAGCTGGCGGTTCACAGGGTTTGTTCAACCAGGAGCACAGGGCTCGCCCTGCTTCATCTTCCCATCAAAACAAATGGTGGTCGTTGGTGGATGGACCGGCATTTCTTTGGTGTCTTTCACAGACCGAAGAATGCTGGGGGGTGACAGAAGTTTGAACCAAACGCTGGAAACTGATGGGGTTCATGCGGGTCCCACACCAGTGGGCCGCCAAACGATTCTGCCTGCTCTTAGAGGTTGACATGACCAGTGGGACGAAACGAAATAGGTGACCAAACACTAGGCGTTGCAAAAGTCCAACATGTATATATATATATATATACAGCGTATGGTTTAACTTCGACCTTGCTTCTTGGAACAATCAATATTGTTGTTCAAGAATGTTCAAGAATGATTCCAGAAGAACGTCCGCCCCTCTCTCTCTCTCTCTCTGTTCCATGAAACTCTGTGCCCAACAAGGAAAAAGCAAATTGAAAAGCAAAAGCAATCCTTTGACACTTTTGTGGGCTCTCCTTCATTTCACCGGACGGATCACACAAAAAAAAAACACACACACAAGCCAGCCAAGGCGGGGCGGCGAAGCCTGTCTGGGACGGTCCCAGAGGTCCCAGGGTCCCAGTCCGACCCCGGGCGCTGGAAATGTGGGGTCATTCCCTTCTGTTGAACGTGAAAGAATCGAAATGCAAATGATAAATACATTGGAAATAAGAGTTCCCGGCATTTTCCTGGCTACTGGCCCCCGATCTTCACATCTTCTAGACGTCTAGACGTCGATGGAAGAGGAACATCTGCATCAAGCACCTCGCTTGGGTCGAGAAAATGGACATGTTCACCCTCTCAGCAGAACAACTTCAGGACCCATGCTCGCAGCATCCCCCAGCCCACCGGGTGCAGCATCCCCCAGCCCACCTGCCACTCTCGGCTCCTCCGCAAGGCTCCCAGCGCTTGGCGCCAGGCGTTTCGAGCTGCACTGAGCATACAGTTCAATGCCGCAGGGGAGCGCGCAGCACGGTGCCTTCCCGCGGAAAATTCACCACAGCCCAGGGTGGTCACTTCAAAGGTCAGGAGAACCACCAAAAGCTCTTTTTTGGACTGGTGACTACCAGGAGTTCCGCAGGATGCTTTATGTAGTGGCTCAGTCGTACGGAACATCCAGCCAAAACAGGTCTTAAAAAAGGACAAAGGAAAAGGCAGCGAACCTGTTTCGAGGATAGGCATCCTTCTGTTCCTCCATCAACTGTGGAGATTAGACTCCAAGCAAGCAAGCTCATAATATGGCTCTGCCAGAGTCTTTTCTTCATTCTCCCACACTTTTGGGGGCGGCATGCGACCTCGGTCACTCTCCTACTTCTACCGATGCATCCCTACTCTGATACCCACCCTGCACGAACGGAGCCGGGTATCACGTTGCGGGAACGTTCTGGCGCCTCATCAGCAGCTCTAGACTCTTTGGCCACTTTTCCTCAAAGTCCAAGGCGCTCAACACCGCCGTCAGTGACACCATGTTCACCGACAGGTCGGGCGCCTGGCGTCAGGAGCGGCACGGTCCTTCTTGCTTGGAAAGACCAAGCCTGGAGTTCAATACACTAGAGATGTTTCAGGTCTTCTTGCTTTCTTTCAGAGGACTCGAAAAGGGTGGGACAAGGAGAATTTCTAGAAACTCAATCTAGTGGAACATGCTCCAAAAATATATGGCCAACTGCCTTTGGGAGGTTTCTTTCAGGCAGCAATTCTTCCATACACCCGTTGGCCCTCACAAAGTCCAGGCTTCCAATGCCCAAAGACCCCAAGACTGGTGACCCGGGCCCCCACTCATCCCAGATGGAGTTAAACAAAATCAGATGTCAAGAAGTGTTGTTCTTCCCTTCTTCACATGATTTTTGGTTGCTCAAATCGGCTCTTGTTGACACAAGTACTCCACCCGGGTGGGTTGATCGCCTCCACCCGACCTGCGACTCGTTCGTGGATCGCCGACCGGACACACCTCGACCATGCGCTGCCACCGCTGCAGCGCCTGCACAGTCCAGTCCAGGCGGAACTCGCCAGGGGTGGAACCGGCAGCGCCAAGGGCGTCTCATCCAGTTAGGGTAGACAAACGGCCATGCATTTTCTCCGACGCATGATGGCATGGCCGTTCTACCCGACCATGTCCAGCTTTCACCGGCAGCCAGCGATGGGTCTGACCAAACGTCTCCAATCCAGATGGGATGTTGAATTAAAAGGAAAACAGGTCATCTACGATGAAGCGATGTCTATGAAGTATGAAACCACCTTTCAACCCCCAAAAAATAGGGTGTGTCTTCTTTGAGGGATCGCAAAAGTACCTGTGGTACCAAGGTACAAAATCCAATTGACACCCGAAAAATCGCTGGGGTTCGGCACCTTCAGGTTGAAGCCATTTACAGTAAATCTGTCCACCACCCTCCTGCATCCCCCCTCGTTCACGCGCCCAACCACCACCAGTGACGCGCCTCATGAACCACACCAGGGGTGACACTGGACAGTCCCCGCCGCGCGCAAATCTCCGCCCCGCCAGGCCGCCAGGCCTCCCTCCACCGTCGTTGACAAGTCATGAGCATGGAGGTGTAACCCACCAAGTCCTGAGCCAATTGGCGCACTACCAGGCGCCGCAAGAACGGAACCGAACCGTGAGTTACCGGTTGGTGGAGAGTCGACGGATCGTGAGTTATCGGTGGAGATAGACGGACTGAAACACCTCCAAGCTGCGAAGAATATAGATTCCACGTTGGTAGCTGGATGAAAAGAAAAGAATCTGGAAGTGCTGAGGAACTAGGACCTTTGGTGAGTCACAATCCTTTTGGTGCTGGTGTCTAGATCTCCCTTCTCTATTAATCCAATAGATCAGTCGCGCTCCCCACATATCCGTTAAAGAAACGTCGCGGGCTCTTGAGGGGGCCCAGGGTACATCACTGGAGATCCGAGGGCTTCTTGTGCAGCTTCGGGAAAAAACAACAATGCAGAAATAAAAATCTCGATGCGGGTGAGGGCAACTTCGTGAGTTGCATGTTGTATAGCATCATCAGCTAATCACCCCATAACTATGAAGATGGAAGGTCCACCAAGAGCATGTCACCAGTGACTGTCCACCGGCGTTCGACTTTGTTTTAAAGTGGTGGTCTCCGGGGAAAGATTGGTCCTGACGGTGCGTAGTTCTATGGCTCTTCCAACATCAGGACCTGCAAGGTGGCCGGGCTTGCACTGATGCCCATGCGGGATATGAAGAATCACGTCATCAGAACATGTAAAACACGTAAAACAGGTGTGCCACATGCAGGTAAACGCCAGGTGCTCGTCCTCGCCGTAACAAGTCTTCAAGTCTGCGTAAACAGGTGTGCCAGCGTCAAAAAGCTGGTTCTGGAGGACGGCACACAGCTGTTCAACCCAACAGCTGGTAGCAACTCAAGCGAGCGCGAATGTAAACATGTTCCAACTGTATGACTACATGATACTACATGTGTGCTTTTGGGCTTGACTTGCCCTGAAAGCGCGCAAACTCAATCGGAGCACATCGCCACGCACACAGCCACATCGGAGACACGCGCAAAGCAGAGAATATGTACCTCGTATTACCTCGTGGCACCATCATGGGCTGGCAAACAGGAACTGGCGAGCAGGAAATAGGAACCAGGAACCAAACAGGAACTGCTACTGGGGAGCAGGCGTTGGGGAGCGAATAGGAAGTCTCTGCAAGCACCTTGAAAGCAAAGGTGGGAGCCAGGAGTGGGGAACTGATGAGACGGAACTTGGCGACGGCGATTTTGTGAGTCCGAAATTCAATTATCCTCTTGCGATCCCAGCACCTAGACCTAGCAGTACGGGTTCAGAGGTTCCGGTGTTCCAAGGTTTCAGGGCATTAAAAACCTTCAGCAGCATTAAAAAAACTCGCGAGATATGGGGCATATCAAAGCGACGAACGCATCCGAACAAGACGTGCACCGAACAAGACATCAGACCAGCGTCCAGTCCCTCCCGATCCCCATCCTTCCTCCGAGTCGCAGGCCTCATGGCCTTCACCCTCATTGAGCTCAAGATCTCAGCAGCTCCACGCCAACGATCGCTGGCCTCGCAAGCCGGCCACGAAGGCTCGGGACCGCGCTTCGGTGGACCCGTTGGGACTCTTTTCCGGCACCCAGTGAAAAAGGGCGGACAGGCGGGGAACACGTCCACGGCCCTTTGGTTTGTGATCTTAACGTGTTTCGTCTTGGTTCTTTCCATCCATCTCATTTAGATCAGAGAATGTCCACGTGTTTTCTTCTTTTTAACCTGAGTGGCATGAAGCTTCGAGCTGGAGAAGAAAGGATGATGATAAGAAAAAAAGCAGCACGTAATGCGGCATGTTCAGTGCTTCCATGCCAACAACATCCAACAACCTATAACTGCATTTGGCGTCGGATCTGGGTTCTGTCCTCAAGATCTTTGCTTCGATTCTGTGCCATGAGATCCCAAGAGAGGTCAAGTGACCTGAAAAAGGACGCTACTGGGGCACCTGTGGAATGGTTGGAGGCCATTGCTCTTGGTTTTTTTTTTCGGCCATCGCTAGTAGGTTATACCTATGGAATAGTCTATATACAAAGGGGTTCTTCAACCTCTGGTCTTCCCCCAAGAAACCTGGACCGCACGGTTCCCGCGTGCGTGTCGCGCGCGCGACACGCGCGAACCTCGTGGGAGTCTTCGGGCGTTCGGTGACGATGCGGACGGCATCTTCCAGTCCCTATAAGTCATTGACTGCTGCTGACAGATTTATATATCATATTAGACTTCGAATTTCGATCATAATATGACCCATTAAAAAAAGAAAAAGAATACAATAATAAATGAAGGTGTAGAACGTAAGACGTTCCCCCTCCGCGACGAACGGTTCCGGTTCCTGTTCCCACTGCTTTCACCTTTCTGTCCCACTCCGTATGCGCGCAGCGCTGCACTGGGCGTCCCGAACGAAGCTGCCAAGCGCCGCCTGAACGCTGATCTCGTTGACGCGCAGCGTGCGAAGCTCCAAGCTGCCTGATCGAAGTTCGGGTCTTTTTTGCTGCCTATTGTAGGCTATTGATTGATCAAACCCCCCTGAGATGAAGAGGTGTTTCAATCCAATTAGGGTAAGCAATTCAGAGTCTACATTAGCCGGCCTTAGGTATTTGTGGGGCGACAATCTCGAGAAGATGTGGACTGGTATGTTGGCATCTGTCAGATTGATATGTGCAAAGTAAATTCAGGACACATCAAGCCACATCGGCATTGTAAGACGAAGGACTAAATTTGCCCGCCCGAACGCATGTTCACATACATTCCAGAGCATTGACTTGTTTGGGGATTCCTGTAGAAATGCGTTAAGTCAAGAGCTTTTTTCTAAGCTCGTAAAGGATTCATCGCTTTTCCCTAACTCACCTCGTTTCACCCAAACCCTACCGGGCGCCCGCTCCGCTCCAACGGACCCGCTCCGCTCCGCTCCTAGGAGTGCCAAGGCTTCTCGCCAAGCGGTCACCGAAGCGAAAGCGCTGAGGGCACTGCTGGCGCCCACCACGTCGCCGGAACCTGGCGCGATGAGGCCGGACTGGGCCGTGGGCGTCGAGTCGTGGCCGTACGCACCAAGGAGAACGGTGGGGGGGGGGAGGGTTGTACCAATGCCTTCATTCCCGGCCATGAGGAGTGTTTGGAGTTAAGGAAAGAAAAAACTCGTCTTCACCACTGAAATGGAAGTTGCTCATCTTCAACATCCTTTGTCCCCACTTCCTGGGCATTGCATACCTCCCCTCAGTGCCTTTGAATGCGCTGGCTCCACATGTGGCAAAGGTCGACATGTGGCTCCAGTTCGACCAAGCATGGGACATGCTTGATTGAAAGGAGAGAAGTCAACACCAACGAACGAACTGTCGACCCACCTGAAATTGCTAAACATTCCCCACCTGTCAGGTGAGGGTTGCTAGATTTTAGAAGAAGATCCCGCCTCATCTTGGGTTTGTTTTACGTTCTTTTCTTGTCGATCCTCAGTGTGGGAGTTCTTTGGGCCCAATTCACTGGGTCTTGGATCCGTTGGATCATGCAGGTGGCGCTCTTGGTAGGATCAGCTCCAGCTCACCAGCTAACATCCTGTAGGACCAGAAGAGCTACCAGCTAGCAGGTTAGTAGATGCTCTTGTTCAGAAGAAGCGGCAAGGTGTAGTAAGCCTCAATTCTCAAGCAACATCGGCTTCTACACCTGTGATGTGGACAACAAAAAACGACTGCAGAATTGCACCATGTGGAGACACACACACACACACAAATGGGATTCTGGGCCGCCATGATCCATTCAGTCTAACATCGAAGTCAACCATGTGCAGGTGTTCTAATGGTGAGACAGACCAATGCCAATCCAATGTCACCTTTCATAAACAGTGATTATAATAACCTGTATCAAAAGAGGAAAAGGGGGGCAAAGACAGGGCTGGACAAAAACGAAGAAGGCCACACATGGCCTTCTCTTCGCTTTTCCGCTCTTTTTGGGGGGAAAACCCCACTCTTCTGCGACGTCCCGCGTCCCGACCTGTGCGCGGACCGGTTCCAACCTGCCAAGCGCAGCACTTGACGCCAGCGACTCGCGGTGCCGTCGTGGGCGGCGCCTAAAAGGTCGTGGGGCGAGTCGGACCCACGTGTTCGGACGAGACGTGAGACGTGAACGGACCGGGTTTTTGGGTTAAAAAAGGATGGAAAAAAAAAAACCGTTCGGAACGAGTCCACCATGTGGATCTTGGAATTTGTTGGAGATCCAGTGTGAAGGTATTCTTGGTCGTTACCAGTTCACCATGCGGAAAATCCTCTTCCCCAAGGGGCGCCCTGCCATCCACCTTCCATGATTTTGTTTTTCAGGGAGTAGTTTCTCATTGTAAAATTAACACATTCCTAATTCAAATGTAGGCCATTGGCCATTCCAATTGCCAATGACAGTAAATTGGCGATGACAGTATGTATATGAAAATAGGGAGACCGTCTGAAGACTTCATGGAAGAAGGCAAATAGACTAAAACCATCTAAAACCCGGTTAGGAGATCCCCCTATTAGAATACAAACCCATATGATCGTCATGTCAATTCGTCGGGACCGGATCCGGATCTTCCAAACTGACCCAAAAAAAATAGAAAACACACATCCTGGGTGGCTGCAAAAACTGTGGATGACAGATTTGTACCTCTGAAAGTCTAGGAGACTTCGCCAATATTCCATCCCACATCATTGGTGAATCAAAGACTCGAAACCCCCACACCACAAGGTTGTCGAGTCTGAACGGCCTTAGATCCGCCCAGTCCTGAGCAGCCCCTTTCGGGTGTCGGCGTACTCGGAAAAATCTCGCCAAGTTGAACCCGACAGAAACAGATCGATCGAATCGATCTATCTAATACATGTTTATCTGAATGTTAAGTCGGCCAACTGAGGCACAGTCTGTCGAACTTGTCTGACCACGGGCAAAGAGCGGCCTTTTCATCGAGTGAAAGCAATTGACCAACTCGCCCGAGCGCATTCAGTCTCCAAGCCGTCCAGGCGTGGGCGAGTGTATCAAAAGCCGAACCAAAGCAATGGAGCTTCTCTTGGGACCTCCAAAGCACACCCAAAAGAGTTTGCGGGTCCTCTCTGAGATTCTTTTTCCAGGTGTCTTGTTCAGATGGGAATATTTGCTGTTGAAGACACGGTTTCTTTTCGCCAGCGAATCCATCACCCTTGGCGAGAAACACCGAGCGAAAGCACTGGACGAGCAGCTTTGAACCGGAGGGCGTTCAGAATTGAACCGGTCAAAGCCGTAGCTGAGCGGGTCAAGCTTGCCAAGTCAAAGCACTTCAGTCTATGCTATGCTCACCTGCAGCGAACTTCTGACTCACTTTAGCTTCTAACTGAGCTGGTTCAAGTTTGTCTCACTTTAACTTATTCTTCTTCTTCCAGCTCAACATCGTTTTGAGGCTGGGGAAACAGCCCCAGGCGGAGCCTCCACACGTGGCGGAACAAGAATCCATCGTCACCCGCTCAACCCAGGTTCCACGTCGGCTGGGGGGTGGACGATCGGAAGAACCCAGGTCAAATGCTACCGCGCGCCGGAAATGAACATGAAAGAAAGGAGTGAATGATACCAAAGAGAAAGAAAGAAGACATGACATATCATGATCTGGTTCTGTTTCTTGTTATTCGCCCTTATTGTTTCTTGTTAAATTGCTCTTTTTCTGTGATGTGAAAAAAGATGGCATTGGGATGCGCTTGGTGCTTTTCTTGTTCTTTTCTCCTTTAACGTCTTGCCGATTTGGCTGGGGGGGGTCAGTCCTTGGTCTCCCTTCTCTACACGCCCGAGCCAGAGCACAAAACCTATAAAGGCTGAAAGTTGAGCCAGAGCCTGGTGACCACCATGTTTGGCTACAAGTACGACTGTTTCGCTCTCTGTGGCGATGTGACACGATGTGACACGAATGGTTCCTGATGTGAAAGAATAATCTTCAGTGAACAGTCTAAGAGAAATAACATCTACAAATGCCAGGAAGCTAACATGGTAGGTTTAGGAAATCACACATGTCACATGTTGGTCACACAGGCTGGCCTTGACCCAAACTGAGCCCCAGAAGCCGGTTGAACCCCAAAAATGATGAGATGGATCGATTTACTGTACCTGGTTTACCTGAATGTTGAGTTGGCAGATCTAGCTAGTATACGACTCTACGGCCTAGGGTGACCCATGACCACCTCCCCAACACAAAAAGAAGAACTCAGTCAGTCCAACTTCGACCACGAGCAGTCACGGCTTTTCTCGCCTTTTCCCCAGCCTTTTGGAAGCGGTCGAACACAGGGATCACCGCAGGGGCCAAGACTCGTCACATGGCTTGGAAAGACGAGGAAATCGGACGAGTTGGACGGGGTGAAAGACTCGTGGCCACGGCCATCGACTCGGCCATCGAATCTGATTCTGGCGAGGACCTGATCCATGGGGGCCATCACTCTCTCTGTCTTTCTCCGAAAGGTGCATGGCCTTTCAGAGAGCAACCCGAGGACCCAAGCGACTGAGGTCAGGAGGATGGAGGAGGGTCACGCCCTTTTGAACTGTTTGAACCCAACATGCGGTGCTCGAGCCTGCAGCATCACGTGTGAAGGGTCAAAACGACCAGTAAGCCAGATTGGGCCGTTCAGCTTGGGGTCGATTTCAGAAAGACCAAACAGTTGTGCAGGCGGGACTGCTGCATTGAAAGTCATCTTCAGGCCTTGTTGGCCATGTTTGGACAAAGAAAAGTTCTTCGCGTGCCACATGTCCGAGCTTAAGCTGTGTCATCACAAGTGCTCAAACTTTGCTGAGAATGTTGAAGACAAAATATTATGTAGATTGTAGATCTTAACCCTTCGTACAGGAAGGAGATGACATGATTGCTGAGTGTCCCTGATTTTGAGGCGATCTCATCTTTTCACTGAGGTTTATTTCGCCTGAACCCATCCAACCCGTCTGTCTTTTGCAGATCCAGGGCACTTTGTATTCTTTAGTGATGTGTGCCTCTTCAGGTAGTGGAAGAAAACAACCCTTCAAAATAGATCAGGATTCAATCACATGCTGAGACACGTAGTAAGGTGTCTCAGGCATTTTAAGTAGATTCATGGGATGGTGAGTACTCTTACACGCGCTTATGATACTTATGATCGTTGTGGTTGGTTTCGAAGAAAAGACACCGCAAGATCCCTGCCTGCTCTTTCGAAAGCGTGTGCATGCTTGGATTTGACAGTTGACATCAGCAGTGAGACTCATCACACTCTGATCTTAAAGGAAACGATTCATTGAAAAAAAGAAGGACCTTCTAGACTCTCAGTTACGACCTCAAGACCGTCAAACTGCTCCAGCAATGTCTTGGCCTAAGCCATCCATCTACTTCAGGCCATCCGCAGGTTAGGTCCAGCCGGCCTTGTGACCAGGTCAAATGAGTTTATGAAACCGTATATATAGACGTGCACAGCTGTAGAACTTTGGGCGAAAACATGGGCGCTATCGACGAATCCTGTGGGGCCTGAAAACGACCAAAGTCGCCCCAGCGTATTATATAAAGTCAACTGACTCCCTGGTATTTTAAGTGGAAGAATTCATCTGGCGGCCCAAATGGGTCTTCCGGTCATCCGAAGTGGACGGCTGTTTTTTGGTGGTTTGTGC